CTCCTCCTCCTCCTCCTCCTCCTCCTCCTCCCCCTCCCCCCCCTCCTGCTCGATGGCCGAATGCCGTTTCGGGCGCCGCCCCCCCAAGACCTGCCGGCAGGCACGCCGCCGGCGAGCGCCGGGCGCCCCGGTCGCAGAGAGGGGGGGCGACGGGCAGCGCGGCGGAGGGCGCACGGGATCCGAGGAAGACAGGCGCAGCAGAACGCCCGGGACCCGACGCGCGGCGACGGGGCGCCACCTCGCGCACGGACGCCCCGAGGTCCCGAACTTTCGCCGCCCTCGGGGGACAAAAGACATAAAAAAAGCCAAGACCTCGTCCCCGAAGTCGACTCCTGGCGGCCTCGCTGCCCCCCCCCCATCCACCTCCATGGCCCCAGGCCCTCGCCCCCCTGCGCGCGCGCGGGAGGGGGAAGGGGGGGATTGCGAGGGGGAGGGCGGGGGGGAGGGGGCATGGGAAAGCCTGGGGGCGAGGAGAAGGAGAAGGAGGAGGAGGAGGAGGAGGAGGAGGAGGAGGAGGAGGAAGACGACAAGGAGGAGCATGAGGAGGACGAAGGGACGGAAAAGGAGGAGGAGGAGGAGGAGGAGAAGAAGAAGGGTGAGGGGGAAAACATGGGCATGAGAGGAAGAAGGAAGTTGGAAGAAGAGGAGGGGAGGGAGGGGAAGGAGGGGGATGGGGTGATTCCTGCGCATCGGCAGCTTGGCTGAATCAGGCCAGGAAGCTCACGGGAGGGTAGTGAAGACCATACCCTCGACGGGCACCTTGTGTCCAACACGCCTAGACCTGCCCTCCCTGCCTCTACATGGGCTACCCGTGTGAAACCCTGGGGCCCGCGTGGATACTATTCGGGCGCTCTTGGGGCGTGGGAGGGACATCTTCCACGCCCCTAAAGCCACATTGTGAAGACACACCTTGGTTAGCAAACACCGCTGTGTGACGCATTGGTTTGGGGAATCAATGGCCTCTCTCGGGGCCGTTTTGGGCAACGCCTCGTCCAACCCCTCAGGAATATATTCTCGTGAACCGTCTTGGAAGAAGACCAGGGGCAACATTCGAAGGCACGAAGCGCACTCCTACAAATGTGTGTGTGTGAACTGGATCAACCCTTAGAAGCCTGAAGCCTGAAGCCCTAGCGGCTATAGCGGTCCACAGGGCCAACCCAGAAAGACTGCACACAAAAGACTGGATTGGACACACAAGCTCGCTCAAAAAAAACGACCAGCTCTAACACTTGCCAGTTGCAAGACCGTGCTCATCCCAATAATTTCTCTCGGGGAGGGGAATGTGGAGGGAAAGAGGAAGGCGCAAGCCCTTGGAAGGCCCTGGGCGCGGTGCCGGCACAAGCGGGCCGTCCCACGCCATCTTCCCGCGCAGCCCAAATCATCTAGCGAGGCGTCTGGAGGCTCTCTGAGATTGTCTCGACGACACCTGTGACAAGTGGAGGACACCGACCCAAAACTCTGGCTGCTCGAGCTTGTTCGAAAGATGGGCCCCGGTCGGGGACCGTCTGGCCCGGGTCATCCCGAACCCGGGTTAGTCGGGCCTTGCATGATCCTACAAGATCCTGCGCCCGAGCCCGGGTTCGTGCAACCGTGGCCCTGCAGGACCCTGCAAGATCCCGCGCTCTGACTGACCCCCGTTTGCCTTTGACCCCCGCCACTTGAGCCCCGAGACCTCTCGGCCCCTTCCCCGGCGCCAGACTCTTCATCCCGAGCCGTTCTTCGGCACGGGCCTAGAGCCGGCACCCAGGGGGCCCAGAATTTAGAAGCACGCCAACCGCACCAGATCTGTCAACAAAGGGCGCCCAGCTTCGCGCGTCGCGCTGCGCGAAGCGCGACCCACTTCGACCCTCGAGGCCCTCGCGCCGCCCCCCAAGGAAGAAGCCGAGGACGAGGCGGAAACGGAGCCGAGACGCAAAAGGCGCGAGGCGCGAATCCCTTCGAGCCCTCGAGGGCGCTCCTAGAGCCTCTTAAGCCGCCACGACGTCCGGGGAAGGCTCCCAGGGGGCCTCCCCAAACCTTCTGGGAAAACCAAAAGGTACCGATACCGCCGTTCCCCAGGCCTCTCCCAGGGTGCGTTCTGGCCAGAGGATTTCGAGGCAAAATCCAGCAGCAGTGGCGATGAAGGCCTCCCAGGAGGCCCCCAAGGGGGGAAAACGAGGGAACGGTACAGTCGGACTTGATTGGACAGGACACGCGAGAGGACACAAGACCCTTCCGAGGGCCACCTTGCCACAGGAATGCAAGAAAGCAGGGGTCGCGAAGCTCGGGACACGAGGTTACCCTCGATTTGACAGGGTCGACCTACTAATCAGGGCCGACTGCAGCAGTGTGCGTACCTCTGCCTCCTCTGACTTCCAGGGCCTGGGGAGGACGCCCAGGAGCGGGCCCGAGAGCAGGACCGCCCACCAGCGGCGGCGCCCTCTCCAGATCCGCCCACGCGGGGGCGGACGGCCTCGGGCTGCGTCGGGGGGCCAACAAAATAGACACCACCACCACCACCTCCCTCCCCCCCATCCCCTCTCGCTGGACAGAGAAGAGAAGAGAGGAGGGATCGACGTGGTGGTGGTGTCTATTCTTCGGGCCCCCATGTGTGGCGCCGACGTGTCCCTGCCCACCCCCCCAGACCCCCGACGTCATGAATTTTTCATGACGTCGACCCCCAGCGGTCTGGACCCATCCCCCAGGACCGGTTCTTCGTCCTGAGTAGTTTTTTGACGGTCCCGAGGGCCGGTAAGGGGCCCCAGAGGCCAAAAATTATGAAAAACCTCCCGTCGTGATTTTTTCATAACTCGAGGGGGTCTGGGTCGCCTGCCTCCCCCCGCCCCCCAGGGGCCCCCCCACCCCGCGCCTCCGCGCCTCGCGCGGGGCGCGAGGGTAATTAGCTTCGCGCTCCCGCGCCGGACCCCCGGGGGAGCCGAGGAGGACGCGGAGGCGTAGCCGAGCCGCGGAGCGCGAGCCCCTTCGCGCCCCCCACGAGGGCGCCCCTGTGAGGGGGAGGAGGAGGGAGGAGGAGGAGGAGGAGGAGGAGGAGGAGCAGGAGCAGGAGGAGGAGGAGGAGGAGGAGGAGGAGGAGGAGGAGGAGGAGGAGGAAGGAGGAGAGAAGGAGGGAGGAGGAGGAGGAGGAGGAGGAGGAGGAGGAGGAGGAGGAGGAGGAGGAGGAGGAGGAGGGAGAAGAGGATAAGGAGGAGGAGGAGGCGGCCTTGAGGCTGCTCCTGGCTCGACACGGCGTCGTAGAGCTCGTCCGAGAGCACGGCGAGCCCGGGCGCCTCGCCCGCCAGGCCGAAGTCGTCGAGCGCCGCGCTGCCCCACGCGAACGGCCGCGCGTCGAGGCCCGCGCCGGGGCCCGCCTCTGACTACCTACCAGACCACCCCAACCCAACCCGAAGGCCCGAATCCCACCAGCCCTCTGGGCGTGAGTGGTTTAGCGAGCTTTCTCTGTTCTCAACCCCCCTTCTTCCCCTTCGGGGAGGGGTTTACCCCCTCCCCCTGGGCCTGGAGATGTTCCTTTCGCGGGTCGTCAGAGGGGTCTTTTTCGACTCCTGGGAGGGCTAAAAAACGACACCCCTCACGAGGATTCTGGCCCCGACGGGGGGGGGGAGAAAAGTGCTCCCCTCTTCTTTGAAGCCAAAATCATTGATTTTACTACGGTTTTGGCCCCATTTTGGCCTTCTGAGGGGGCAGCGCTAATTAAAGCTCCCCTCTTCTTTCAAGCCAAAATCATTGATTTTACTAAGGTTTTGGCCCCATTTTGGCCTTCTGAGGGGGCAGCGCTAATTAAAGCTCCCCTCTTCTTTGATCGATTTCCTTCAAGATGGCCCCAAGAAGCGCCCAGGAGGCACCAAGAGGCCCCAAGATGGCCCCAAGAGGCCCCCAGGAGGCCCCCAAGAGGATCCCAAACGACCCAAAGAGGCCCCCCCGAGGCACCCAAGACGCCGAAAAGCCCATCAGGACGACCCTCTACTCGCCTGGTTGTCGTTTCTGGACGGGCAGGAGGAGGGGCCCGAACGACTCACACCAGGACGAGGGGCCCGAACAACTCACACCACGAGAAGCCCGAACGACTCACACCAGGACGAAGAGCCCGAACGACTCACACCACGAAGAGCCCGAACGACTCACACCAGGAAGAAGGACCCGAACGACTCACACCAGGACGAGAAGCCCGAACGACTCAAACCACGAGGAGCGCTTTCTCTCCCTCCTCCTCCGCCTCGTCCTTCTCCCGCTCCCACCACAAGGAGGATGTACAAGGAGGCGGGAGGAAGGAGGAACAGGGGAGATATGCGGGGGTAAGCGGACACACGCCTGAAAAACACGACTGTCGGCATGCTTCGCAAGAGTTGCTGTTGTGAGATGGGCTGGTGGGGATACGCGAAGCGTAAAGAATTTCGGATTGGGGGGGGGTAAGGGTTCCACACGTGTTTTTTCGATGTTCCCCGACCCCCCCCCCCCACTAGAAATCGAGGGTAAATCTGAGCCTTCGGGTTGGGTTGGGGTGGTTTGGTGGGTGGTGACCGCCTCCGCGCCGCCGCACACGCGCGCCCAGAGCGCCCGCAGCTGGGCGCCGCTGCTACCCTCCCACCGGCTCCGGCGCACGAAGACGGTGCGGGGCCGCATCTGCAGGAAGGCGTCCCCCTCCGCGAGGAAGCGGCGCGCCTCCGTGCGGCCCTTGCGCTGCAGCAGGCGCTGCAGGCGCCGGAACACCGGGCTGCGCCGGGAGCTGACCTCCGGGCCATATGTGCACGCAGGAGGGGCCCCGGGCTTAAGAGAGGGGCCTCCGGTGCGCGGCCTGCGGGGGCCGCGGGGGGGGGGCCACACACGAGGGCGCAGGGCGCTATGCTGCCGCATCGCGCTCGGCGAGCGGAAGGCCCCAGTGGGCCCGCACCAGACGTCACTCCGGCGAAGGGTCGCTCGAGCGTGCCCCAGACCCCCGACGTCATGAATCCCACCAGCCCTCTGGGCGCAGGTGGTCTCACGATGGCTGTCTTTCCTCTTCCGCAAGCACTTTTTCCCCTTCGGGGAGGGGTTTACCACTCCCTCTACCCCTCCCCTGGACATGGACGGGAGGGGCCGCGAGTCGTTGGAGCGTCCAAAATCGGCCCCTGGGAGGGGCCCTCACGAGGATCGTGGCCCCTGAGGGGGGGGCTTCGATCGGGACCCTCCCTCCTTTGATCGATAGCCTCGAAGATGGCCCCAAGAGGCGCTCCAAGGTTCCCAAGTAAGCCCCAAGAGAGCCCCAAGAGGGCTCCAAGAGGGTCCCAAGAGGGCCCCAAGAGGCACCCGAGAGGCCCCCGAGCGGTCGCAGAGAGCCCAAGATGACCTCCCAAGATGGCTCAGATAGCCCAAGCTGGCTCAAGATGGCTCCCAAGATGCTCCAAACGGCCCCAAGGTAGCTCGAAGAGCGCCCAAGAGCGCTCCAAGAGAGTCTCAAGAAGCGGTTTGCCGGCTCCTGAGGGGGGAGCTGCGTTGGGGACCCCCCCATCCTGTAATCGATGGCCTCCAAGATGATCCCAAGAAGCCTTCCAGGGTTACCATGAGGGTTCCAAGAGGGCCCCCCAAACTCCCAGAGAGCACCAGCAGCAGCAGCAGCAGCAGCAGCAGCAGCAGCAGCAGCAGCCGCAATAATACCTCTAGATGGTTCCATGAGTCCTCGTCCGCGTCGTCCTCATCCTGGTCCTCGTCCTCCTCGTCCTCGTCCTCATTCGCGTCCTCGTCCTCCTCGGCCTCCTCGTCCTCGTCCACCTCTTCCCCTCGCCCCCACGCGGCACCCAGGGATGGCCCGAAGAGGCCTTCCAAGGCCACCCCATTTCTCGCTTTGTTCTCCTGATGTGTCTCTTCGTCCCTCCCGTCAGCTCAGAAAGGCAAGGTTTCTGAATGGGCTGGTGGGGATATATTTTTTCCCCTCGCGGGCGCAAGCGAAAGCGCAGGCGCCGTGGTGAAGGGTCCGGGCTGGTGGGGGTACTTTTTTTTGGTCGGCGGCTCCAAGGCAACGGTCAGGGAGAAGAAGCAGCGTCCGGGATGCGGCACGGTGCGAATTTGCGAACACGGCTGCCAATGTCGGCAAGCCAGTTCGCACCTGCAAAACAAGCTCGCAGCTGCACATGCACAGAACAAAATGAACTAAATTCACAAGCAACGCACATAGGCGCAGCAGCGTGAACCGAAGTAAACGAGCTGCAAGGAGTGTGCGAAGACAGCGGAGTGAGTCGCCGGTTCGGCGCCAGACTCCAGGCCACCTGCCCACTCCGAACGGCTGTACGGTGTAACCGGGCAGAGCGCGGGAAAAGACACAGGGCTGCGCGAGCGCGGACTGGTGGGGATACGCGGAGCGTGAGGAATTTGTCATGACGTGGCCCCCCAGCGGTCTGGACCCCTTCCCCGGGACCGGCTTTTCGCCCTGAGTCGTTTTTTGACGGTCCCGGAGGCCGGTGAGGGCCCCCAAAAGACGAACATCGCGACCACCTTCCCGTCATGACTCTTCCTCGACCCGAGGGGGGTAATCATGTGTGTGCTGGCCGAGGACCTCCAGCACCGTCGGGGGCGCCGGCGCCGCCCCCGGCCGGGCCGTGCTGGCAGACGCCCGGCTGCTCGCGAGCTCCGCGCCGCCCGCCGCGGCAGCGGCCAAGGGCGCGCGGGCGCGCCCCCGGGCGGGCCGCGGCCCGGGCGCCCGGGGCCCGCGCAGCCGCGCGGCGGCGGCAGCCCGCCGCGGGCAGCCGGGGCGCGCGGCGGCCCAGCAGCGGCCGTGCTGGCGGGGCGGCGCGGGCGCGGCCGCCACCGCCGCCGCGGCGGCGCCCCCGCAGAGCGCCAGGCGCGCGCGGAGCCCATGGGGCCGGGGGGCGGCGGCCTGGGGCCCCATGCTTGCTCCGTGGCGTCACCTCAGTGTGTGTGTGTGTGTGTGCGTGTGTGCGTGTGTGTGTGCGTGCGTGCGTGCGTGCGTGCGTGCGTGTGTGCGTGCGTGCCGTGCGTGTGTGTGTGTGTGTGTTTGTGTGTTTGTTTGTTTGTGTGTTTGTGTGTGTGTGTGTGCGTGTGTGTGTGTGTGTGTTTGTGTGTGTGTGTGGTGTGTGCGTGCGTGCGTGCGTGCGGTGCGTGTGCGTGCGTGCGTGCGTGCGGGCGTGCGTGCGTGCGTGTGTGTGTGTGTTGTGTGTGTGTGTGTGTGTGTGTGCGTGTGCGTGTGCGTGTGGTGTGCGTGTGCGTGTGCGTGTGCGTGTGCTGTGCGTGTGCGTGTGCGTGTGCGTGTGCGTGTGCGCGTGCGTGGTGCCGTGTGTGTGTGTGTGTGTGTGTGTGTGTGTGTGTGTGTGTGTGTGTGTGTGTGTGTGTGTGTGTGTGTGTGTGCGCTCTGGCGCCTGTGCAGCCAACTCTGTCTCGCCGCCGACGGAAAAAGTGCGGTGTGCGTGTGCTGTGTGTGCTGTGTGTGTGCTGTGTGTGCGCTGAGTGTGTGTGCGCGCTGTGTGCTGTGTGCTGTGTGCTTGTGTGTGTGTGTTGTGGGCGTGCATTTCGAACATCGGCGAGAGTCTCGGACATGACAGCTGCTGGTCGGGTGTGCTGCGCTGGAGAATCATCTCATCTCGTGGCACCGACGGAGGTTGCCCAGACGGAGCAGAACAGGTCGGAAGAGCGCACCGCATCGCCACCGCAGCGATACAAAGGCGACGTCGGGGTGGAAAGGTAAACTGCGCTCCGGATGGCACCCGTATCGCGGACGCAACGGCGATGCGGCGCGATCCTCCGATCCCGTCTGCGGGCGGGACCGACTGCAGAGGGCACCCGAGACGACACAGGTCTCTCCGAGGCCCCTCCGCGCTGCAGGCATCCTTTTGGTTCAACCTTCCCCAATTGAAAGGTTCGGGATCTCATTGAGAGGTCTAGGGGGCGCCCATCGGCCTCGAGGAGTCCCAGGGGCTCTCGCAGGCACGTCCTCAGTCCGCGCTGCAGGCACGACGAGGGCACGAGACGAGACAGCAGGGCGCCCAAGCCCCCTCTCCCCACGGTCTGCAGGGTCGAACTGCTCGTGCGATCCGACTGCGCTGCGGCCCCGTTCAAGCAGCCCGGAACCACGGGCCCGTGGGAGCGCAGGCGGGCTGGGTCGGCGCTTCGGCGCGGGCGGGCCGGGTCGGCGCTCCGCGGAGCACGAGGGCGAGGCGGGGTCCTGGGCGGCGGCGCGGCCGAGCGGGCTCTGGGACTCACGGCACCTCCTCTGCTGCTGCAGGCGCCCAGCCGAATCGCGTCGAACCTGCCATCGGTGACTGCGCGATTTCTCCAGCCATGCTCACCAGGGCACGATCCCAGCGTCTACCTTGCTCCGGGGGGGGCCGCCCAGCGTTTCGCGCCATTCTTGAGCCCCTGGGGCCCCACTGACGTCGTGAAGAGTCATCTGGAGGCCGTGGATGCCCCCTGGAGACCATGGCAAAGCCTCGGACCAAGAACGCCTCTGGCAAGGTCCAGCTGGTCCGTTTGGCATGTCTGATGGACCCGTCCGCACAAGCCCCTGACACACCCGAGGGAAAAACGGGGAACACGCTGCCAACGCGCAGGGCCACAAGAACAATGGGACGACGACGATGACGATGACGGCGAGGTCCCCCTCCTCCCTCCTGCCCTTGCACCCAGGCGCGCTCGCCGGCACCTGGAGCGCGGGAGCGCGCGGAGGGGGAGGGGGAGGCGGAGGATGAGGAAGAGGATGAGGGAGCACGCGCCGTGGAGGAGGATGTGGAAGAAGAGGAGGCGGAGGAGGATCAGAGCAAGCCAGGGAGGCAGGAGCGCCGTTGCAATCTACCATCCCTTCCCAAGTCCTTGCCTCACACGCCCCTACAGTGTCCTCCGTTTCACGTCAGGAAGCGCCCCTCTTGACAGACCCGCACAATCGGGTCTGCCATTTTGGCGAAGGCCCCGGTTCGAAAAGGAATTACCTTGCAGCTTCCTGGCGCGTGAGCAGGAACGCGGAACGAATGACCATACAGTTCAACGCCATGTCCAGCGAGGTCCCCCTCTCGACACAAGGCATCCTCGCCATCTGTCTAACTGTTGCACAAGCACAAATGTGGTCATGAATTTAGAAGAACATTCAAACGAATACTACATGTGTTAAAAAGACCCTCCGTAGATCCGTGAATCGACACGTGCATCGATGTCTCGGGCCTTGAGACTCATCGAAGTCCTAAGCGGTAACTGCATTTTGAAGGGCAACCCCGATCCGTCTAAACGTCGCATTAAACCATACGCGCGCGGCGATGAGGCGAGGGCCGCCTCTTGAACATGCCCCCCATCCATCCATAAAGCTGCCGCACGTGTGCACGATATGTTGAGCGATTGCTAGATGTTAAAACGAATGCTCGCGGCGCCAAAGCGGGACACCTTAATTTGAAAACGCACCCCCGTCCATCCCTGAGCTTAAGATGATTGCGCGCGGCGCAGAAGCGAAAACACAACGTTTGAACTCAACCCCTCTTCCGCCCCTGAAAAAGATTGCAGACGTTGAAGATGAATGCGAATGGCTATAAGGCGAGAACCACATGTTGAAAACGACCGCCCATACATTCGTGAAACTGCTGCAATTGTTCAAAACGAATGCGCGGGGCGTGATGACGAGAACCACATGTTGACACCACCCCCATCCATCCATGAAAATGTTGCAAACTAAGGCGAGGACTGCTAAGGCGATAATCACATTTTGAAACGACCCCCCTCCCTATCAGTGAACCTGTTGCAAATCGGCGAGCGGCGCTGAAGTAAGAACCACATGTTCAAAGCGACCCGCCCTCAATCCTTGAAACTCTTGCAAATTTCTAAAAACGAATGTGCGCGGTGCTGAGGACGAGAACCTCATGTTCAAAACGACCCCGCCCTCAATCCGTAAAGCGTTGGCAATTTTTCAGAATGAATGCGCGCGGCGCGAAAGCGAGAGCCACACTTTGAAAACCACCCGCCCCCCATATGTGGAACTGCTGCCAACTTCTAACCTTCAGGGCCACAAATGTCGGGAAGAAGTAAAACTCGAGTACGGGGAACTCGGTTTTGGCCAGACGGGACCATCATACAAGTGACGAGTCCCAATCTGAAAGTTGACGCGAACTCCCGCTGCAGACATCCCACGAACATTGAACCGTCAAAGTCCAGGACGCACTCGTCAAAACACGTCGGGGATCTTCTGACCCGGGTCAATCCAGACCCGTGTCAGCAAGAAACAAAAAAAACTGCAATGCAGGAAAACAAACTGTAATGCAGCTCTTCGCAAACCCGGGTCGGCCAATATGCGCGGCCGCCTCGCGGCCACGAGCGGCTCGCTAACCCGGGTCAGCCAGAGGGGGTATTCGCAGTATCCTGCAGGATCTGGTGCCCTGGCTGACCCCCGTTTGCACTGACCCCCGTCTCCTAGGCCCCGCAAACGTCGGCACACCCGAGTTCTGGCTTACTCGAGCCTTACGCTTCCCCGGAAGTGGTGGGGAAGTCTCGAGCGAAACGCCCGGCCCGCCCCCTCGACCAGCCTCGGGGTGCGACAGGGAGGACTTATATACAAGAAAAATAGATGGAGAAGGAGGAGGAGATGAGAGAGGAGGCAGAGGCGGAGGAGAGGAGGAAGAGGAGGAGGAAGCAGAAGAAACAGCAGCGGAGAAGGAGGAGAAGGAGGAGGAGGAGGGGGAGGAGAAGGAGGAGGATAGAGGCCTCCCAGATGGGGTCCGAGTATGTGGGTTCGAACGATCGCGCCGCATCGCCAATGCATCGCCGATGTATCGCCGATGCATCGGCGATGCATCGGCGATGCATCGGCGGAGAAGGAGGAGGAGGAGGAGGAGAAGGAGGATAGAGGCCTCCCAGAAGGGGTCCGAGTAGATGGGTTCTAACGATCGAGCCACATCGCCGATGCATCGGCGATGCGGCGCGATCCTCTGACCCCATCTACTCCGATCCCCATCTAGGAGGCCTAGGAGGAGGAGGAGGAGGAGGAGGAGGAGGAGGAGGAGGAGGAGGAGGAGGAGGAGGAGGAGGAGGAGGAGGAGGAGGAGGAGAGAGGAGAGAGGAGAGAGGAGAGAGGAGCGAGGAGAGAGAACACGGGAGGACAGAGGCGGAGAGGGAGAGGCGCAGGATCCGCGCCCGATCCTTTCTCCCTGCGAGGCCCCCCGCGGGGCTGGGCGCGCCCTGTTCTCCTCGCCGCGCCCGGCCCTGGCTCCGCCCTGCACGCGGATGCCGCGGGGGGGTGGACGGCGGGCGCGCGCCCGGCTGCTCGGGGCACCCAGGCCCCCAGGCGACCCGAACAGGCGGGGGCCGGAGGTCTTCCGCCAATCTCGGCCACCAGTTCTCCAGTCCTCCTCCTCCTCCTCCTCCTCCTCCTCCTCCTCCCCTCCTCTTTCTCCTCCTCCGCTTCCTCCTCCTCCTCCTTCCCCTCCAACTCCGCCTCCTCTCCTCCTCCTCCTCCTTCCTACTCCTCCCTCCTCCTCCTCTCCTCCTCCCTCCTCCTCCTCCTCCTCCGCTCGCCCCTCCGCCTCCTCCGCCTCCTCCTCCTCCTCCGCCTCCTCTCCTCCTCCTCCTCCTCCTCCTCCTCCTCCTCCTCCTCCTCCTCCTCCTCCTCCAGGCTCGGCCTCCAGGCCCGTGCAGGGCCGTGGAAAGAACGGCCCTGGATGGAGAAGCTGGCCACGGGGGAGGGGCCGAGAGCTCGAGGGCCAACGACTCGACGCAACAGTCGGGTCGGCGGAGGCCTGGGATCACAACACAACAGCTGGCGACCTAGATCGGGCAGCAAAGAGACAGACAGGAGGCCTCGTGCACGAGGACGTGGCGAGGGGGAAGGAAACGCATCACCACCGCCACATGGAAGATGGAGGCAGAGGGTGGTCAGGGGTGGTGGTGGCGTGTATATCGTCTCGGGCGCTCTCGCGGGACATCGTGCACACCCGCATCCCGCACACCAGCTCATCCCCACAGTTTCGGGGAGACGTGAGACTCGGGTACGGGGGGCTCGGGTTGACCTGACGGTGCCATCATAAAAATGGCGAGACCTTGTCTGAAATGTGACGCGATCTCCCGCTGCAGACATCCCACGAAATCTGGACCGTCAGGATCCAGAACGCGCTCGTCAAAAAGCGTCGGCGAACCCGAGCTCTGGCGTACTCGAGTCTCACGTCTCTCCGATTCCAGGTGGTGGTGGTTGTGGTGGTGCGCTTTCTCAGGGAGCCCACAAAGGACGTACGCACCCAATCACGTACATGAACTTGGTGAAATGCGTGCCAACCCAACCCGAAGACCCGAATTTCGGGTTGGGGGGGTACAGGCTTTGTATGTTTCCCTATGTTCCCCGGCCCCCCACTGGGAATGGAGGGCGAATTGGGGCCGTCGGGTTGGGTTGAGGTGGTTTGGTGGGTGGTGACTCTCAGAGGCCTCTTGCGGAGGAGGAGGAGGAGGGAGGTGAGTGGGATGATGAGTAGGGGGAGAAAAAGATATAGAGAGAGGTTGGAGTACCATGTGGGACCTGCACTAGAACAGAAACATACCGCAGACGAATATATATATATATATGTGTATATATATATATATATATCGTTTCTCCGACCTTGCACTGCGCCGAACGCAACGGCCACGTTGTCCATAGACGTATCCACCCTGAAAGTGTCGTCCGTGGACGTCACGGCAGCCATTGTGTCCATAGACGCTTTGGGCTAGGACGTGAGAACGGTCTTTGGCATCGACTCCAGATGGGCTTCTGGAAGCAGGTAGGCTTGGCCCTCCTAGATAGAGGACGAGGGGAGGCTAGAGGTGCGCCGCGCACTGCACAACGCGACGCCTTGGACGCGCAGTGCCTACAGACGCTGTCGCCGCCTCTTGAGCAGGGACTGGCCGTCCCGGCATCCCTATAGGCCTACCACGACATGCTCTTTTAGAACCCCAGCACGTTCAAATGGCAAGAACACTCTTCTCAGAACCTAGGCCGGTGCGTTAGGACAAGACAGACTCGACAGGACATGTTCTTGGAACACTTCGTGCAAGCCGCGAAAGGCTCTCAGGACACTCTTCGGTGGGCCTCCAGGCGGGCCAGGACGCTTCGCCACCGCTCGTTTGGACGCCCGAAATGGGTACGGAAAAAATGGGTACAATGCCCAACAACAAATGTTGTCCCAAACCAACAGCGGCCGCTGTTGGGCAGGCGGCCTTCTGTCTCGAATGGACACAGGCCGCGGCGGCGTGGACAGCGAATCCTGTTCAAAATGAACAGGAACTGCTGTTGGGCATCGTACCAATTCTTTCCATGCCCATCTCGTGCGTGTGGATTCGCCACTGCTCGAGCCTCGGCCTCCGCCCGCTCCCGCCGGCGGACCGACGATCACCAGCCGCCGCCGGCGCCGCCCCCGCCGCTGCTGCTCCCGCCGCCGAAGCTGGAGCCGCCGCCACGGCCACCTGCTGCCGCTCCTCCTCCTCTCTCCTCCTCCTCTCTCCTCCTCCTTCCTCCTCCTCCTCCTCCTCCTCCTCCTCCTCCTCCTCTTTCCTCCTCCTCCTCCTCCTCCTCCTCGAGAGCAACGCACGCAGGAACCAGAACAAGCCAGACATGACCGCTAGGTGGAAATGGGATCTCTCTTACGGCAATTGTCAGTTTCAAAGAACCCTACTCGACAGCAGCAACTGCGAGGAATGGTACGATCCCAATTGACGCACATAGAAGCATTGGAGTACCCACCACTGCCACCGTCCAGCCTCAACTGTGTACGCCAAGATGAGAAAGAAGACTCTTGGGCCCTGGATATTATCCGCAAGACAGAGCTGGACACAGACCATCAGTTGTGGAGTGAAGCAGTACTTCAAGCGGCGCAGCGTGCAGAGCGACACGGCAAGCGAGCCTGGCAGAAAGCGAAGCAGAGCATCCACCGTTGGGCAAGGAAGGCCATGGAAGGCAACATGAAGGAAGCTCATGGATACCTCAAGCGGCCCGAATCCCTCTCGCTCCCTGAGCTGTGCATCGACCCCGACAGCAGTGGAGTTATTGCCAGCTTGCAAAGTGCGGTGGAGACGAGAGCCAGACAATGGAAAGCAAGGTGGACCAAGCACGACGAGTACAACGAGACCCAGGCACAGATGGAGAGGCTGCGCTCAAGGGCTGAAGCAGACCTTCCTGAGCGTGAACCCATCACCTTGGACCAATTGGAAGCGGCTCTCAGGACGACGCCCAATTCCTCAGGCCATGGATCGGACATGTGGAAAGTGCAGCATCTGAAGGCGTTGGCACCCCAGGCCAAAGAGGAATTGGCCGACTTGCTCACCAGATGTGAGCAAAGCCTTTCATGGCCGCACCAATGGTTACACATTTGGTACGAACTTCTACGCAAGGGATCCAACTTGAAAGCAGGAGACGAGAGGTCGATCGGCTTGATACCTTTACCAATACGAATTTTGGGGCGGATCCGACAACCAACTATGGCAGAGTGGAGCAGCAAGAAGGCAGCATTTTGGGATGCAGCAGTGGCCCAGTCGTCAGCCCTCCAGGCAGCTCTCTTCAGCATGGCCATGGACGAAAGCAGTGCCTGGGATGGGACGCAAGCGTGGGGCTCTATCTATTTAGACATCAAGAAGTTCTACGATTCGATCAGCATCCCGATTTTGATAGATCGCGCGTTGAAGCTTGATTTCCCCCCCGTGGAGCTCTACCTCAATTGTCTGGTATACCTCGCTCCGCGAGCCATCAGAGCAGGAGGTGCTTTCGCTCCACCGATAATCCCTGGGAGGAGTATCGTACCAGGGTGCAACAACGCAAATGATGGTGCAAGGGCATTCTTATACGAAGTTTTGGAACGAGCTCACAATCAGGTACCCCGAGCGCTTCCCAGACAGTACGTGGACGATGTCACGGCGAGGTCTGACGGCTCGTACAAGCAGGTCAAGCATGAGTTGACCACTGTTGCGGTCGAGTTGGTCAAAAAATGCATTGAGAGCAAGTTGGAGATGTCGGACAAGTCGGCAGTCATGGCATCCCACCCAAGTATTGAAACAACAGTCTCGCAAGCAGTTCGGCAGCTAGGAGCAACAGTCAAAGGAGCATCGTACGTACGTGACCTCGGCATCGACATGGCGAGGGGACGCAAGAGGCGCACCGCGACGGCTACGGAGAGACGCAAAGCGGCCAGAGCACGAATACGCCGAGCCAGGGTCTTCAAAGGGGCAGGCAAGCGTAGACGGAAGCTGGCCACGCTCAACTTAGTCAACGTCCGTGCTAAGTCATCATACGATGTCCCTGCTGTGTGCCAGTCTCCAACAGCGGTGCGACGAGCAAGAGCCGAAGCAGCAGGCATGCTTGGGTACACGACAGGCGGCAGGAGTACATCCATGGTGATGTTGCTGCACTACTTCGAGAGGGACCCAAAAGCTGTTGGGCTCCGCCGCCAAGTAGCATAATGGATTGAGCTTTGGAAGCGGTGGCCAGAATACCATGACAAACTACGAGGAGGTTGGCATGCTGCAGCACAGCGACTCCAGCGGGCACGACCCAGAGGACGTTGGAACGTGGTGACAGGGCCGATGGCGGCTCTCATCCAGGGACTTTCTGAACTAGGATGGCAGCTACCTGAGCCAGACACGCGGACGGATGCGCAGGAAAATGAATGGACGATGGCCCAACAACCACACCAGCACAAGATGCAGGCAAGCGGTGCGTGGCCACCGTCAGACGTTCAGCATTCAGACGGCACTCTCGGAGATGAAGACACCACCCAACTCATGGCGACCATCACGGCGGACGTCATCAAAGGGCTGTGGCAGCAGGCGGCCAGAGATCGCCACGGAGGAGGCTGGAGTTCTACGCCAGACCTCACGACAGCAAGCAGAACCCTGCAGAGAATGAGACGTACAGAGTCGTATCGTGAAGCTGGTGCGCTAGAAGCAGTTATTTGCAATACCATTTGGACCGAAGATCGTTGCCGTGTTGAAGGCTACGAGTGTGATGGGGTCTGTACCAGGTGCGCGACAGGCCAGAAAGAGACGATGGCCCACGGCGCCTGGAGCTGCCCTCATACATGCGGTCAGGACCACCCTTGGATCCGTCAGAGCGCCAAACTATGTGACGAATCAGTCCGAGATATTACTAACGGGACCAACCTGGAGTTGTGGCTAAGAGGGCTACTACCATCCACGTGGAACTCCGTACCGCCTCCGCCTTCATGGGGCACGCCTTGCCTGCCGTACTACATCGATTGGGACGGGCCGACCGTCACGTTCGAGGGCACGGTGAACTTCGAGGACCGCATCGAGTGCAAGCTGGCCTTCCTGGACGGCTCGGCCTCGAGCAGCGACGCGCTCCTTGCGCGCGCAGGCTGGGGCGTCTACTTTGCCCAGTCCGCTGCCTGTGTGGAAAATGACGACCCCGACACCCCTCGGCCAGGAGCTTGCGGGGGCCTAGACGGAGCCCAGACGGTCCCGTGCGCGGAGTTGGCGGCCCTCTGGTGGGCCTTGAAAATGACCAAAGGGCCAATTTGGCTCTACACGGACAGCCAGATCGTGTACGACGGTTGGCACGGTTCCTCGGACACCTCGGGAGAACTCAGAGGCTGGTGGAAGAGGGTCCTCTCCGAAGCTCAAGGTCGACGAGTGATGCTCAGTAAGTGTAATTCGCACCTAGATAGAGTTTCGCTAGCCTCCCTGGTCCAGACCCCCGCTGTCTCCCGAGGCAATGACCTTGCCGACAAATTCGCCCAACTAGGAGTTGAACAGGTTTCAGCTGAAATAGACCCAGAGGTCAGAGATTTAGCCCGTGCTGAGTTTAAAGTGTGGTTGGTCCAGAGGAGGCTGGCTATAGTCAACGCGGCGTCCGCTAGGGCCGATTTCGAGCGCAAGCGCCGCCCGCGTAAGGACTGCCGTGTGCCGCCCGCTGCCTGGCGCGTAAGGAAGGCTCTTGAAGCGTCTTCTGGGCACCAGGTCTCCAAGGTTGGCCCCTCCTGGGTGTGTAGCCACTGCCAGAGTGGCCCTGGGAAGTTTTCTATTTTGGACTGGCTTCGCAGTGGCAAGTGTCCAGGACCCCAGTACCATAGAGTAGAGTCTCAAGGTTTACCTGTGCGCCTCCCCTCTCGTTACAGTATAGGGGACAGGGAGGTGCATGAGTCACACAATGCAGCTATTTTGTATGGCCAGATTTTTTGTTGGAGGTGTGGGTGCCTGGGCTCGAAGACCCCCACGGGAGGTAGACTGGGGGCGGGCCTCGTAGGCTTGTGTAAAGGGCACCCCACCCCTGCTGGCCAAGAGGCCTTGAATAAAATTCGGCGTTGGGAGGTCCCCTCTTCGAGGGGGAAGGCCGTGTGGCCCGATGGCACCCCCAATGCCCCCAGGCGCCCAAAGCGTGAAGTGCGCCGCAAGGGTTAAGATAACCCCTGAAGCGCCAGCAGCATATCGGCGGGATTTGCTGTCTGGTTAGTAATCGTCCTGTAATCGTCCTCCTCCTCCTCTGCCTCCTCCTCCTCCTCCTCCTCCTTCTCCTCCTCCTCCTCCTCCTCCTGCTGCTCCTCCTCCTCCTCCTCCTCCTCCTCCAGTCTCCTCGTCCTCCTCCTCCAGTCTCCTCCTCCAGTCTCCTCCTCCAGTCTCCTCCTCCTCCTCCTCCTCCTCCTCCTCCTCCTCCTCCTCCTCCTCCTGTATCGCGCGCAAGCTCCACGAGGCGAGACGGATGCGAAGGATGTACGCGGCTTCCCAGCTCACGTTTGCCCGTCCGCGGCTTATCGGAGCGGACCCGTCGCGGTCGAGGCAGGCGTGGGACGCGCGGCAGGCGAATCGTTGGGCACAGGGACCGAAGAGCCAAGGCTCAAGTCGGGCGTGTCCCCCCCCCCTACAGGGGGATTTTCGACGAAGAATAGAAAATACTTAAACACTATATTCCCAAGTGGTGAAAAATACTATATATATATATATATACATGTGTAAAGAAAAGTCCCTGGACTATTTTTTTTTACCATTTTTGAAGATTCCCCCTGTAGAGGGACATGATGCCCGATTTCAGCCAAAGCGAGGGGGGGCGCGGGCGGGGGGAGGCCCGGGGGCGAAGCCAGGACTCTCGTGCAGGACGAAGCCAGGGGCGAGGACAGGTCGGGGTGGGGATAGATCGGGGTGGGGTCAAATCGCGGGTCTCTGGATCGGGCGTTGGCAGAGCTGGGTTTAGTGGAACCTGGTTTAGTGATTTGTACCGGGGGCGCCCCCCCCGTCCCATGTCCACTAACCGGAACTGCCGACACCCGAAAAACACCAGTTGCGGCAAACCTGGTCTAGTGAATCTGGCCACTTGAGGGGCCCCAGGGCCCTACCACTAACCGAGTCCCCTTACCCGGGGTCCTGGCTATACCCGATCAGGAGGATGCGCCGTCGCGTGCTGCTGGAAGTGTCCCTGGCCCCCAGCATCTCCCAGGGGCACCCGCGGCCTCCAGAGGAGGATCGGGCCGGGCGGAAGGGGGGGACAGCAAAGGGGGGGGGGAGACTCAGCTCACGCAGCTGAGTTTCCCAGCGCCCCCCGGCGCCGGGAGGCGGCCATGTATCGAGGGATGGGCCCCTCGGTGGGGCCGAAACCAGCTGCGCGCAGCAAATCCCATCAGCCCTTTGGGCGTGAGTGGTTTAGAGAGCTCTCTCTCTGTCCTCAACCCCCCTTCTTCCCCTTCGGGGAGGGGTTTACCCCTCCCCCTACCCCCTCCCCCTGGGCCTGGACAGGGCGCCCCGCGGGTGGTTGGAGGGGTCTTTTTCGACTCCTGGGAGGGCCAGAAAACGACGACCCTCACGAGGATTCTGGCCCCGGGGGGGGGAGGGAGTTTAGCGCCTCAGCTCGTCTTTGAAGCCAAAAACATTGATTTTACTAGGGTTTGGGCCCCATTTTGGCCTTCTGAGGGGGCCGCGCTCATCTTCCCTCATAGCAAAATCATTGATTTTACGAAGGTTTTGGGCTCATTTTGTCCTTCTCAGGGGGCAGCGCTCATCTGCGCTTCTGAGGAGGTCGCAAGAGGCCCGCCCCAGAGGATGGCCCCAAGAGGCCCCCAGAGGCTCCCAAGAGGCCTCCAAGAGGCCCCCTCCAAGAGGCCCCCAAGAGGCCCCAAGAGGGCTCCAAGAGGCCCCCAAGAGGCCCCCAAGAGGCCCCCAAGAGGCCCCCAAGAGGCCCCAAGAGCTCCAAGAGGCCCCCAAGAGGCCCCACGAGGAGCCCGAACGACTCACACCAGGACGAGAGACCCCAACGACTCACACCACGAGGAGCCCGAACGACTCACACCACAAGGAAGGGCCCGAACGACTCACACCAGGACGAGGCGCCCGAACGACTCACACCACGAGGAGCCCGAACGACTCACACACGACGCGGGCCCCGAACGACTCACACCACGAGGAGCCCGAACGAGTCACACCAGGAGGAGGGGCCCGAACGACTCACACCAGGATGAGGGGCCCGAACAACTCACACCACGAGAAGCCCGAACGACTCACACCAGGACGAAGAGCCCGAACGACTCACACCACGAAGAGCCCGAACGACTCACACCAGGAAGAAGGGCCCGAACGACTCACACCAGGACGAGAAACCCCAAACGACTCAAATCACGAGGAGCGCTCTCTCTCCCTCCTCCTCCGCCTCGTCCTTCTCCCGCTCCCCCCACAAGGAGGATGTACAAGGAGGCGGGAGGAACAAGGAACAGGGGAGATATGCGGGGCCAAGCGGACACACGCCTGAAAAACACGACTGTCAGCATGCTTCGCAAGAGTTGCTGCTGTGAGATGGGCTGGTGGGGATACGCGAAGCGTAAAGAATTTCGTACCCCCCCTTTCCCAAATCCCCCCCTTTCGTCCGGCCCGAGAGGAGCACTCCTCGCGAGGCCCAGGGGGGGGCCGAGGGGCCCCAGAACGCAGCGAAAAGCCGGGGGCACCGTGGGCCAGGGGCACCTTTAGCAACCGCCGATGTCGGGCGTCGCGGCCTCCTCGGAGCGTACCAGGACGCTCCGAGAGGGTTCCAGAACGCTCTGAGATGGATTGATCCTCGTCCTTGTGCGCGAGGGCCGGAGCCGTGCAGCAGGAGGCGTCGGGCGTGCGCGCTGGAAGACCCGGCGTGGGGCGTGCGCGCTGGAGACCCTGTCAGGGTCCTTGTCGGCGGCGCGCTCGTCCATGGCCTCCTGCTGGGGCCGGCGGCCGTCCACGTGGGAAGTCCAGGTCGCATGGCTCAAGTGGCTCGTCCCTGTGACCGGCCGCTGCACGCCCAGCCTCCTCTGTGGCCCATGGCCATCGCCTGCGGTCGCGGCCGCAGGGCAGGCGCGCAATGCACCCGCCTCTGGCCCAGGGGGGAAAGCCAGGAGGCAGGGGGTAAGCGGGAGGATGGTGCCCGAGAAGGCTCCTCGCCCAGCCCTGGTGCAGAAGAGGGCTGGGATGGCCGCGTGGGCCCTGTTGTATTGTGCCTGGCGCGGCGGCCTGCCAAAACTGTACAAAGGGCTGTCCTTGCGCGGTGGGAATTAGTGGGCCTGTCGGGTCGTCTTGATGGACGGGCCTGGTCTTTTTGCTGATCCAGCAGGCCAAGGCAAACTGCTCTGGGTAATGGCCCGTTGACCCAGGGACTGAGCCGCCAGGGTTGGGGGGCCGTACCACCGTCAATTCACTCAGGTGATCCTCCAGAAGAGACCTCTTGGAGAACATGGTCGTCATGTGCCCGTGCGCGTCGAAGTCTCTGGTGGTCCCTCTGGAGCCCAATGGAGTCCTCTGGAGT